TGGTGTTCTCTCTCAGGATTCCCAGCTCCCGTATACTACACCTTCCTACACACACTGTCAGCCCTAAACACAGGCTGCAGTGTGTTGCGTCCGTGATGCTGTTCTGCTATTTGTTTTCTAAAGGTTTTATCCGGTGCTGTCACAGTTAGCTATAAAACACCCAGAGCAAACAATCGTCATGCCAAGCAACAATTTGAAAGAGATGTTCTGTTCCCTTGTTAAACTGGGTAAATGGAGAACGGTGGGGTGTGTAGATCTCCCCCTCTGTGCCCTCTGACTGTACCTTGGCGCTCAGATTTTAAGCAGGTGCTTTGTGCGGTGTTCACTCTCTCTGCCATTAATAACTGGGTCAAAAGGTGTCTTCCCGAATGCTTAGTTAATGGTAGACTGTTTCCGTGTTGGGATGTACCTCACATTGTATACACACAGTCAGTGTAAAGGAAGAGCGCAGACCTGCAACACGATGTTTGCAACACTGACAAGAATTATTTTCTCAGAACATACACAAACACACAGAGAGACAGAGACACAGAGAGCGCGGGTGGGGGGGGGTCGGGGAGGGTGAACAGAGACACCGAGAGACAGAGAGACGTCTCAAAGCGCTTCACAGACAGAGTGATATTGGGTTGGGGGGTGGAGAGGGAGAAGAGAGGGCATATCGTATCGTGGGACGTCCTCCCGACGTGAAAGGCTATACAAATGTAATTTTGTTGTTGTTATAATTGGCCTCAGTGTCCCTGACCTACAGAAGGGGAGAAGAAAATAAAACAGTCAAGGCTGCTGCTCTATTTGCTATCCAGTTGTATAGGCTGCTGTGGACGGTGAGCGTGAGGACAGGACTGGGGGCTCAAGTCAGATAATCCCCACAGTTGAATACTCGACAGACATTCGCAGATTGGATTCAATGAAGGAAGGATTTGCATTGTTATAATTGCATTGTCGCGCTGTACCATCTCAAAGGCTCCACATTAAGAAGCCCACCCCGTGGGGCGAGAGGCTGGAGGATGTCTGTAACCCTCCTCCTCCCATCCCCATGTGTGAGTCAGCACTCGACAGAGGAGTATGAGGTGGTGAGAGAGATATGTTTTTTAGAAAATCAAAATAGTATATCAGGAATGTAGCTTTAAATTACAGGGCAACCTGATATGATAATTGGCACCTACTTCATTCAGACGTGCCCTTTACAATAGCAGTCTGTTCTTATGACTCCCTGGAGTGGTAGAACAGGAGATTAATGCATTATGATGTTAAATGAATATTAATAAACAAGCAGTGGCACACAGCCAGTTCCCGATACTCAGCCCAGCTGCCCAGGCGCCAGGGCATTAACCGGCACAAGTCAGGCTTCTTGTCAACGTATGGGTAAATGCGAGTCCGATTAGAGCCATCGGCTGTTAATCAGTGACAGCCCGAATTAGAAGCTCCTCTACACTGTCCGTCCACACTCCCAGGTCAGGGTTAGAGACACAGTAAAGCTCCTCTACACTGTGCGTCCACACTCCCAGGTCAGGGTTAGAGACACAGTAAAGCTCCTCTACACTGTCCGTCCACACTCCCGGGTCAGGGTTAGAGACACAGTAAAGCTCCTCTACACTGTCCGTCCACACTCCCGGGTCAGGGTTAGAGACACAGTAACGCTCCTCTACACTGTGTGTCCACACTCCCAGGTCAGGGTTAGAGACACAGTAAAGCTCCTCTACACTGTGTGTCCATCCACACTCCCAGGTCAGGGTTAGAGACACAGTAACGCTCCTCTACACTGGTGTCCACCTCCCAGGTTAGGGTTAGAGACACAGTAACGCTCCCTCCACTGTGTCCACACTCCCAGGTCAGGGTTAGAGACACAGTAACGCTCCCTCTACACTGTGCGTCCACACTCCCAGGTCAGGGTTAGAGACACAGTAACGCTCCTCTACACTGTGTGTCCACACTCCCAGGTCAGGGTTAGAGACACAGTAAAGCTCCTCTACACTGTGAGTCCACACTCCCAGGTCAGGGTTAGAGACACAGTAAAGCTCCTCTACACTGTGTGTCCACACTCCCAGGTCAGGGTTAGAGACACAGTAAAGCTCTACACTGTGCGTCCACACTCCCGGGTGAAGCTCATTTCAGTAACATTTTTTTATTGCCTCCTTCAGTTTTCTTAAAGGTTGTTTATTCCCTTAGTCCTGTGTCCCGCGGTGGGGTTCCATGTCTGCAGTTTGTCTGCAGTCATCGCAGCCCTGCCTGACCCTGTCATCGCCCACACATCGCCCACAGCTCGAGCACACGTGCCTTCTTCCACGTGTGGCACGTAATCTACATAGGGATCGGGATCCCTGGATGATTTCTCGCAATCTCCAAAGCTGCTAAGATTGCATGGGATTTTGTGACGCTCTCAAATTTGGTCTTAATTTTGAACCTGATTCTTTTTATCGCATCCTGTCTGCTCAGAAACATCGTGCATTAACTTCACCCTCACTCCCCTTCCACCTGGAGTCCTGTAGCGCAGTGGGACGTCCTCCCGACGTGAAAGGCGCTATAAAAATGTAATCTTTTTGTTGTTGCTGTTGTTGTTAAGAGCACTCATCTCGCAAGTGGAAGGACCAGAGTTCAACTCCCAGCAGAGTGAAACCTTAGGCAAGTTTCCTTGCCTCTGCTTACCCACCAGTAAGTAGGAACCCGGTTGTTAGTCGATTGATGGATCGCTTTTCCGGGGGTAATAATTCCTTCAAAATAAATGAAAATAATTCGGTCCCTCAACCCACGACTGTCTGTGATACACTGCTGTGCGCAATTGGCTTCTCCTGGCAATTTTGTTGTGTTCCGCCCACAAAATACACAGTCAGTTGACTTTGCAGTCTATTCTGTGAAGCGCTTTGAGGCGTCTCGAAGGTGTGATCAGGCGCTGTGTCAAATACAAGGATTATTATTCTTGTGCTGCAATAACAGCTGTGGAAAAAACTGTGGTCCTCTGCTGCCACCTGCTGTCTGTTGGCAAGAATAACAGCTTCCCCACCCTGGAAAAATAGACCCCAAAGCAAATGCTGGAGATACAGCTGTGTTTAATAATAATAGTAATAATAATAATCCTTGCAGTTGAAATAGCACTTTTCAATTCGAACTACTTAAGGCTTTCTCTCACATTCTCACGCTCACTTGTGGTATAAAGGATGTGCTCTCCTTTGAGGTTGCTCCCACCACGCCAAAGGAAGACGTCCATTGGGCAAGTGATTTGGACCACAGCTGCTGGAAGATGTTACTTGCAGTCCAGGTTCATGAATCCACATTCATATGTCCTGGGCTTGGAATCCACCTTGATTGGCTTCCGGAGACGTAAGCAGTTGCTGCTCAAGCTCCGTACCCCCAACTGATAGAACCATCGTGCAATGGGAAGGAATGGGTCTGAGCTGCGGGCGCTGCGACCGGGGATTCTTCCCACTCAGCTCCTGTTAAGCGCTCCGACCGGCTGCCTTGGGTGAACTGCAAGTTGTTGTTTTGCCTGTTACCCCTGCAAGCCAAAGCCCTAATGGATAGGGTGATTCCAACCGAGTAATAACAACATTAATAATCCTTGCATTTGATACAGTGCCTTATCACAAGCCATGTAGGTACTGTGAAGTGTTGCGACTGTGCGTTTTGTGGGCGAAATGTGACAGCCAATGTCCCACAAACAGCCATGGAGTGAGTGACCGATTTTTGTCTCGGGGATTGCTATCAAGGGAACGCCAGCCCATGTGAAGGGCGCGGCACAAATGCAAGTTGTTGTGGCCGTTGGCCAGGGCACTGGGGGGAGCGAAACCCCCTTCTCTTTCCAAATAGCGCCGCGGAACCTTTAAAGGTCCGCCCGAACAGGCGAACGGGCAGCAGCGGGAAAGCGTTCCGGACGGCGCTCCCCGTGGCAAAGCTGCGCGGCTGTAGCCGGTGAGCGGTGACCCCAACGCACACTCTGGGGACCCCCCCCCCCCCCCCGAGCCTTGGCTCTCGCCAACCTGCGCCTAACGCTCCAGGGAGAGCACGACATTCCGGACACGGGGAATTTTTCCGGGTGTCGGTGCCGCTGCCTCTCCGTCTGGTGTGAAGCCCGTTACGGCAATGGTGATGGGTTCAGTGCAGGTGAGCAGAGGATCACATGCCTCAGCTGGGGGGCACTCGGGGGGGGGGTTTCGAGAACGAGCTCCGGCTTTGGAGGAGGAACGGGTCGAGCACGTGATCCAAAGGGGCCGCCGTCCTCGCCGCATCGATGCGCTCGGCGCTGGATTGCGGCTGCCTGAGCTGAGCTGAGCTGAGCGGAGCGCCGCGGCCTGGACACGGGTGGGGACAGCGGGTGGTGCTGGTGTCCGGGGGCGGGGGGGAGCGGCGAGAGGTGCCGGGGTGTGGTGGGGGGGTCCTCAGGTGGGGGCGGCTATTTGCAACGTAAACTCGGAGAGAGCGAGCGAGAGGCGAGGGCGGAGCTCCGGGAGACGGGAGGGTGAATGGCGGTTGGCAGCCGTTAAGCGGCCGTCTCCTAGCAACGGGGACCCCAGGGACCACGTGACCCTCCACAGGACCCCCGGAGACCACGTGACTCCTCGCAGACCACCAGAGGCCACGTGACTCCTACAGATGCCCCTGAACTTTCCGTGACCCCACGGATAACCCCCCCCCAACTCTCTGTGACCCCACGGATAGCCCCCCCCAACTCTCTGTGACCCCACGGATACCCCCCCCCCAACTCTCTGTACCCCACGGATAGCCCCCCCCAACTCTCTGTGACCCCACGGTTAGCCCCCCCCCAACGCCCACATGCCTCTGTGACCCCACGGATAGCCCCCCCCCCAACTCTGTGACCCCACGGATAGCCCCCCCCCAACTCTGTGACCCCACGGATAGCCCCCCCCCCTGTACCCACGATAACTCTCTGTGACCCCCACGGATCCCCCCCTGAACTCTGTGACCCCCACGGATACCCCCCTGAACTCTCGTCACTCCCGTGCCGTGGCCTACACTTCCCAGAGGCTTAAGCGTTAAGGAGACGAGACCATGCAGCCTCTGCCCAGCCCCGCCGTGCCCTGCGAGTCTCCCGCTGTGGCGGAGAGCGTAGACAAGAGGGAGCCGGGGGCCATCACCGCAGCCACGGCCACCGTGACCGCCAGCCCCGGGCCCCCGGGCAACGGCAGCCCCGAGCTGGAGGTGCACCCTGCGGCGGAGACAGCGTGTGAACCCCGGCCCCAAACCTTCGACATGCTCAGCTTAGTGGTGGCTTCCAAGCGCCTGGAGTTCTTTGCTGAACCGCTGACCGATCTCTGGGAGATGGTGAAGTATTTAATCAGGTACGGAGCTGGCTCGTGTTGTATGTTTGCGGGTGGCTGTCGCTCACCACCACACATTCTCCCCCTTCCCCCACGCAACACCTCAACTTCTCAGTGCAGTCCTGTAGCTTAGTGGTTACAACACTCGCTTCGCAAGCGAGAGGACCCAGGTTGGATTCCCGGGCATTTTTTCTTACTCCACACTACTATCTTTTTGATCTATGTAAATAACCTGGACCAGGTATAGGGAGTACAGATCCGAACACCTCGCTGTGTGAAAATATTTCTCCTCACCTCCCCTCTGTTTCTTTTAACAACTATTTTAAATTGGTGTCTTTGTGTTACCGATCCACTGCCAGTGGGAATAGTTTCTCCTGTTCACCCTATCGAATCCCCTTATCATTTTGAAAACTTCTATTAAATCTCCTCTTAACCTTCTCTGCTCCAAGGAGAATAATCCCGGCTTCTCTACCTCTCCTGATAACTGAAGCCCCTCATTCCTGGTACCATTCTGGTCAATCTCCTTTGCTCCCTCTCCAATGCCTTGACATCCTTCCTAACGTGTGGGGCCCAGAACTGAACACTGTCTCTCGCTGAGGCCTAACCAGTGTTTTATATAGAAGTTCATTATAACTTCCTGACTTTTGTATTCTGTGCCCCTATCTATGAAGCCTTGTATCCCGTATTCTTTTTTAACAGCTTTATCTGCCTGTCCGGCCACCTTCAAAGATTTAATCATATGAATCCCCCGGTCCCTCTGTTCCTTCACCCCCTTTAAGATTGTAGCCTCTAATTTATATGTAATTGGGTGATGTGTAAAGTCAGCGCAGTGGGAGAGATGAGGTGCAGTGTTTAGATGCGGTGCATTTAAGTGCAGATCAGCAAGAGCCAAGGCTTAGAGACAGTAGAGCGTGTGTTGGGGTAACGAGCCACTGTACCACCTGCCACAGAGCAGCAAGTACTGGGAAACTACCCACTGATGTTGAGAATCCCGGCCTCCAGCACCTTTCCTGGTAACCGTTTCCAGGCCACTGGCTTTTCCAGATGAATTATCCAGGCACTCTTGGAAATGTCCTCAGAATTTATGGCTTGCTTGCGTGTGCTGGTATACACCAAGCAGTGATTCACTCTGTGTATCGAGGGAAGTGAGTGTCAGCTGAGAGCAGAATGAGGATGGATGAGGGTGATGTGTGAGGTTGGTACCTGTGTTTAAATTTCTCTACGTTAAACTTCATCTGCCACGTGTCTGCCCATTTCACCAGTCTGTCCTCTTGCAGTCTGCTATAATACTCCTCACTGTTTACTACTTTTCCTCGCTTAGTATCATCTGCAAACTTGGAAATTGTACTCCCTATATCCAAGTCCAAGTCATTATATAGATCAAAAACTGCAGTGGTCCCAACACTGACCCCTGAGGGACACCACTGTATACTTCCCTCCAGTCAGAAAAACAACCGTTCACCACCACTCTCTGCTCAGATCTTGGAAACTACACCTGGTGTGTCGGGTTATGTCTGTCAGCGTCGTCAGGTGAGGAGGAGCAGGAGACATGAAAAACATGGTTCCTGAAAGCGTTACGACAGTATCTAACAGCAAATGGGAAACACATTCTACAGAAGTGAAATCATTATAGAATCATAGAAGCTTATAGCGCAGAAGGAGGCCATTTGGTCCATTCTGCCTGTGCTCTGTGTTTGAAAGAGCTACCAACTAGTCCCACTCCCCCGCTCTTACACAATTTTTTCCTTTTCAATTCCTTTTTGAAAAGTAGTATCAAATCTGTTTCCACCGCCCTTTCGGGCAGTATATTCCAGACCATAACAACTCTCGGTTTAAAAAAAAATTCTCCTGTCTGCCCTCTGGTTCGTTTGCCAATTATCTTACAAATTAAATGATGTTGGGAAACAGGAGCAAGAGGTGGCCCTCAGGCCTGTTCTACCTGTTTAATAGAACTTGGCAAACAAAGATTTTACCCTCCTGCCCTTTTGCCACATCCTTTAATACCTCTAGTACTTCCAGCCAAGTAATAAAAATAATAATAATCCTTGCCTTTGCTATAGGGCCTTATCACATTGGTGAGATGTCTAAAAACACTGCACAGAATATACTGTAAAGTGGATTGATTGTGTATTTTGTGAGTGAAACTTGACAGCCAGTAGCCCACAAACATTCATGGATTGAGTGACCACATTTTTTTTTAAGGGAACAGTCTATTGCTCTTGTAAACGTTCCCTATTGATTCTATCCCTACAGTTTTCTGGCCAGAACATTCCACACCTTCACAACCCCTCGTGTGAGGAAATGCTTCCTGATGACCTCAGTTCTAACTGTCTTGTTTCGTATGTTAAGGCTATATTCCCATTCTAGCCCTAATCAGTCTCATACCATTGAAGTCTCGCTCTAAAGTTGACCCCATTCCCTTGTCACTGTACTGTGTTCTCCTGCTATTTTGCCAAATACTTTGACTTCCTTGTGTCATATTATTTCAATGGAGTGGATTCCTGTTGTGGTCCCTTTTGAATGCACCCGACAATAAGTGGAAACGGGAACGGAAATTTGCAGTAGTCATAGACATCTAAATAAAGAGGCTGACCAGTTCGTAGAAACATCCACATTTTGAAGGAACTGTCTACTTTTTCATACTCCCCACAGTTAGAAATCCATTGTGCTGTGTGGTATAGGCCTTAATAATAATAATAATCCTGTAAAATAATCCTTGCATTTGATATAACGCCTTAGCGCGAGACATTTCAAAGCGCTTCACGGAAGATACTGTTAGAATTGACTGTATATTTTGTGGGCGAAACGCAGTAGCCAATTGCACACAACAGTGCCCAACAAACACTCATGGATTGAGTGGCCAAATCATGATTGATCGACTCCAGTTTAAATCCCTGATCTGTATTGAATGATTCTTTCAGGATTGGAATATTCAGTACAGGATTGGGTAATGTTATAGATAATCCTGAGGAGGGGGAAGGTTTTTTTTATAGGCTGGACAGTGCAGTGAGGGGAGCGATGGCGGGTCAGAAATTGGATCAAACATGAGCGAAGGTTATGCACCATAGAACAGATGGGTCCCTAAACGAGTGGTGGCCAACCGTTATGGTCAGCCAACAAAATTAATTTCCTTGATTAAATATTTCTTGATTTATGCCATTAACCAATAAATAAAAAACCTGGAAAAGCATTGATTAATTGGGCATGGAGTTGTCTATTTGAAAAGAGAAGGGAGTTGTTCTCTCTCTCTCTCTCTCTCCCGATGTTCTGGCCAACAATCCCCCAAACAATTTGGTGACTCGCTCCATGGCTGTGTGTGGGACACTGCTGCTCACAAACGCGCTGCCGTTTTCACCCACACAGTCACTGCAATTCAAAGTAATTCCTTTAAGACAGACATCCTCTTGTCATGAAAGGCGCTATATTGAATGTAAGGGTTATTATTATTGTGATATTTTGCCTGATCCACACATTGGTATTGAGCACAACCAGTGATGTTTTGGGGGTTGCTAATTGGATAGATTTCAATTTCTTTTCCCCAGGAGCCTCTGTCACATATTATCTGTTCCATTGTGCATAACCTTAGTTTCACATTTGATCCAATTAATGTCCAACAGATAACCCCACTCCTCCCCGATTATTGTTTTCATTACTTTTTGTGTGGGTAAATTGGACTCCTGAGGTAACTTAAGTGAATACCTATCTGCTTTATGGTCATTGAGAGTACAATTTTGAGTCCTGGAATGCTATCAGCAATAGATTTCTCCTCCCTCGCGCTTTTCTGGTGGTATTTAAACTTTGCAGCAACCTCGACGTGTGTTTTTTATGGCGCTGTATAAATTTTAATGACCTATATTCTGCAATAAAGCTGGGAGATAATTAAGAGTTTGTGAAGCAGTTTGTAGATTGCAGTAAGATGTGCTGGGTAATTGTGCTTCCCTTTGTAGAAGCTCTATGTGATACACAGAATGTCAAGAAGTAAGTTTCTTCTCATCTCACTAATAGCACGAATACAACAACAAATTACATTTGTATAGCAGCTTTCACTTTAGAGGTGCTGGACATATCTAGACACCTTTAGAGGCGCTAGAGACATCTTAAGGCGCTGGACAGTCAAAGATTTGCACCCGAGTTGGGGTTTGGGATCAGGAGGGGTAGAGGGTGGAAGGGTGACTGAAGGCACGGTCAAAGAGGAGTGTCTTGAAACCCATCTCAAGGTTGTACCTGAAGACCTTCCTCTTCGATCGTCCTTCCTGCTACCCACTGCCCCCCCACCCCCTGGCTCGGTGACATTCACTGTCAAGCGCTCTGAGACACTATCTGCATGAGGGGCGCTATACAAATGCAACTTCTTGTTGTCTCTAATTTGAAGAATGAGGATGACTGTTAGATAATACTATTTTTTGGCAGTGAGTATGTAGTAAACAGTCATGGTTAAGAGGATGTGCCCTTGTTCTACAATACTCAATGATTGCATTGTTTTGCAGGTGGAAGTCACCAGTCTTCTCCTTGTCATGTTGCGTCACTCTCAATGTGCTCTTTCTTGCACTGAGTGAAGGTAAGAAGAATTTCACCCGAGTTGGGGGTTGGTACTCGTGATAATTTTCCTGTGAATTGTTTCTCCATCAAATATGATCGTTGGTTTAGGAATTGTGTATGTTATTGTATGTGAGTATCAGTGATCAGTTGCTGGCATGGTCGAGTGTGACTGACTGTATCTGATAACTCAATGTCTTCAATTACTCTGCTTCTTGTTCTATTTCATTAATATCCAGGATTTGAAAATCTCACCTTGGTTTAGTCAGTAACACTCTCCCTCTCTGAGCCAGAAGGTTGTAGCTTCAATCCACTGAGTTGGAACTGAATTAGTTCATTCTCCTTTGAGAATTTGTTCAGGGAGTTTGGCATTTGCAAAGCATTCACGACATTTAACAATAGCTGTTGTAAAGTACTTTGAGACATTTTGGCATTTAAGGTACTATAAAATGCAAGCTCTTACTTTCCACTGCCTTTCGGTTGAAGAAACATATCTAATGCCACTTTTAATGTGTAGGGGTTTTGGCAATCCTCTCATTTTCTCTGTCCAAACCAGTCAGGATTTATATTGAACTGTTTGAGACTGACTACTAATAATAATAATTAATAATAATTCTTGCATTTGATATAGTGCCTTATCAAGTCAATGAAATGGCTCGAAGCACTTCACAGAATATCCCTAAAAGTGAATTAACTATGTTTTGTGGGCAAAACACAGCAGCCAATTGTGCACAGCAGTGTCCCACAAACAGTTGTAGATTGAGTGAGCAATTTATTATTATTATTTTTTAAGGACCTGGAAAAGCGGGCCACCAATCGTCTAATTACCGGGTTCCGATTTACTGCTAGGTAAACAGAGATGTGTGGAGTAAGGAAACTTGCCTAAGGTTTCACCCTGCCTGAGAATTTAACCCAGGTCCTCTTGCTTGCAAGGTGAGCGCTCTAACTAATATGCTATGGAACTGCGTGCAACTGAAACCTCTTATCTGCTGAATGTCTCTTGCGAATGCTCCGGTTAGATACAGAGAAACCCCTCTGGTCGGGGAATCCAGAACAAGGGGGCATTATCTTAAAATTAGAGCTAGGCCATTTAAGAGTGAAATTAGGAGGCAGTTTTTCACCCAAAGTGTAGAGGAAATCTGGAACTCTCTGACCGCAAAAGACTTGTGAATCCATTCAAGTTTTCAAGACTAAGTAGATAGATATCTGTTAGGTCAGGTTATCAAGCAATATGAGGCAAGGGCAGGTAATTGGACTTGAGGTACAGATCAGCCATGATCTTATAAAATGGTGGAACAGGCTCGAGGGGCTGAACAGCCTACTCCTGTTTCTATGTTAGCTGAATGCTAGTTCTTTCTTTCTTCAGTTGGCAAAGTGTTTCACAGTTCTGTTTTCCTCTTTCATGTTTTGCAGCCGGTTGGTTTACTTTGTTGGCACTGGTTATCTCAGTGCCAGCAGCATTGGGTTACCTGCAGGACTGTTGCCGAGAGCAGCTGACAGAACAGGCTGTCATGAGGAGGCGAAATCACACTGTCCGGAGAGAGGATCTTCAGAAGGTCAAAATCACCAGACAAGAAGCTCTGGTAGAAATCAAAAGTTTGTAAGTTTTTGTAGTGCTGTGTTTCCTCTCCTGTTTTTCCAATTAACTTTTTTCCAATCCTCTGTGGTCCAGTTAATAATAATAATCCTTGCAATTGATATAGTGCTTTATCACATTGTCGAGACGTCTCAATCACTTCACAGGATACGCTGTAAAGTGAATTGACTTGTGTATTTTTTGAGCAAAACATGACAGCCAATTACGCACAGCAGTCATGGATTGAGTGACCAAATTATAATTTTTTTTGAAGAGATTAGTACCCCCGGGAAAACGATCCGCCAATCAACCTAATAACTAGGTTCCTATTTACTGCTGGGTATACTAAGGAGTGCGGAGTAAGAAACTTGCCTAAGGTTTCATTCTGCCTGGGAATCAAATCAGGTCCTCTCGCTTGTGAGGCAAGCGCTCTAACCACTGAGCTACAGGACTCCACAATTCCATCAGACACAAGCTGCTCTCCAGTACCTTTCCCAAGTGGCTATTATTTATGTGAGCGTGCTATTTGACTTGAGTGGGGGCAAGTGGGAAGAAATGTCCTTTTACTGGCTCCCTGGTTGAGATCAGCTAACTCAGCACAGACTGCGATTTGAACCTGTGACCTTCTGGTCTGGGTGGCTTAATGCTTCAGTGCCTTTACCATCTAGGAGTTGTTTAGTAATTATAATAAATAATCAGGCATGTGGATTGAGGAAACTTGCCCAAGGTTTCACTCTGCCGGGAATCAAACCCAGGTCTCTCGCTTGCGAGGCGAGTGCTTTAACCACTGATCTACAGGACTCCTGTAATAATAATTATGATTATTAATTTGGCGGGGGGGTCATGACTGGTCTACCCTTTCAAGTGCTGCCGACTGCTATCATCAGCAATGCCCTGGAGTACTGCAGACCCTCCTGGCTCAGGAACTGGACTGGAGACCGTCACCAAGGATGGCCTCGATTGTGAGATTCTGTTGCTAAACATGTCACCATGGAGCCAGTTCAGCTCCAAGGAGACCCGGTTTACCTCCCCGCAAGGAGAATAGCCACTACTTGGTCATTTGACATCCAACAAGCTGTCAAATTTGAGCCCTCACTAGGTGGATGTTAGGTACCAGGAACTCCCTGCGAGCTTCCTAAAGGCAACACAGCTCAGCATGAAATGCGAGAGAGTACTGCCATCATCTTGGACACACTTCCGTTCCCATTTAGCGATGGTGCCACCAGTTGAAAGTGTGGAACTAAAGCTTAAGGGAAAGAAAGACTCGCGTTTAGCATTTGATCATCTCTCTTAGCAGCCTTTCTGAGATGTCTCTTTCTGAGGCTATAGAACTGGAAACACTGGTTGATCAGCATTTGAAAGAGAAACATAAGTGATTGTTCTGGGTGTGACACATAAACAGATTGAAGTGCAGGAATAGCTGGTGACAATGTCTGTATTAATTATTGATGTTATTGGTCTGCTGTTGCCATGGCCTATGGGCCATTTTGCTGTTAATAATCCTTGTATCTGATATAGCACCTCATCGCGTCGTCAAGATATCTCAAAGCGCTTCACAGGATATATTGTGAAATGGTTTTGACTGTGTTTTGTGGGCGAAATGCGGCAGCCAGTTTGTGCACAGCGATGTGTCACAAATAGCCAGGGAGTGAGTGATCATTTATATAAAAAAATATTTGGATGATTGTTGGCCAGAACACTGGGAGAAACTCCCGTCTCTTTTTGAATAGTGCCACGGGTTCTTTAACAACAACGTCAGTGAATTCTGTGAAGCGCTTTGAGACGTCTTGAAGACGTGATAAGGCGCTATTTCAAATGCAAGGATTATTATTTACATATTTATTTATTCACGCAGGGTAGCGTCCCAGAGTGTAACATTAACCTGAAAAGGGAGGCGGGATTTTGGTTTAATGTCTAATTCGAAGAGGAATCCTGTGGGGGTCACTGTGCTGTTGCTATAGTCTGGAGGAAAGGCGGTCTGAAAACCATAAAGATACCCAAGGCATTAGCCTCGTTGCCTCAATAGCTATAGCTCTGCCACAAGAGGAAGTGGTGGCCGGCATGTTGTGGGTAAACAATGTGAGATTTTGTGATACGTAAGGGAAGTAGAATGCGAGACCTGTTGTGTATTTGTCAGCCTGGTTGACGCTTTTACAGAAAGTTAAGGCTGCATAAAACATATATTCCTCTTCCACCCAATATTCTCCCCTCAAGCTGACCATTGCAGTACATCTCACCCACAGTAAAGAGTTTATTCCCATGCTGCTCTATTGCTTATCTACTGATTTCATCTCCGAATAACTATTATTTACACTCAAATATACTGAGATAATGCTGTCCTGTGATGATCGGTGCAACAAACCTCCGTAACTCACTCAAGTGGCACTTGCAGTCTGCTGTTTGCCTACAAATATACAGTCAGTGCTTAACAGCAATTTCCCATGAAACACTTTCAGTATTGTGAAGTTACAGGCACTGTGTCAAATGTAAGGATCATTATTAACTGTAAGCAGCATAATAATAATAATAATCCTTGCATTTGATATAGCGCTTTTCACGTCGGGAGGACGTCCCAAAGTGCTTCACAGAACACACTGTAAAGTGAATTGACTGTATATTTGTGGGTGAACGCGGCAGCCAATTGCGCACAGCAATGTCCCACAAACAGTCGTAGATTGAAAATGACCAATTTATTATTGTTTTGGGTTTTTGGAGGGATTATTAGACTGTGGAGTAAGGAAACTTGCCCAAGGTTTCGCCCTCTGCCTGGAATTGAACTCAGGTCTCTCGCTTACAAAGCGAGTGCTCTAACCACTGAGATACAGGACTCCACTTCAATTGTGCAAAAAAGAAATAAATTAGATGTACAGTTTTTTTAAAAAAAAGATTGGATGCACATAGTGGCTTGCAAATTTTCATATTTTTCACAAAGCAACAGTAAAGACACAATTTCACAAAGTTGATATATATGCATTTACTATATTGTCTTGATTGTTACGACATCCATTGAAATAAATTTTTACTGATTACGGATTTTAAAAAAATTTACCGTAACACTTCTGCATAAAATCTTCTTTCAAAAGCGTCAATGCTTCTAAAATGATTTAAATTTTGATTCAAATACAATAAATTTCTTGCTCAAGATAGTGAAAATTAGAGCTTTGAGGGCAAGGAAGAAATCACTTCCAATGCAAAAGTGTGAACATTGTTTGCACATTTGGTAATTTGTGGAGGATTTTTTTTTAAGTTAAGCTTTGAGTCTGGGTTGAGATGCTCCCTTCATATGGAAAATTTAAAGACAGTAGACGGAGGACCCTTCATTGCAGGCAGGCAGGCAGTCTGGACCAGATGTGAACTCCACTCCTTGAGATAAGAGAACGGTGTTCCAACCCAAAGCTGCAGCAGTATCTCTTCATCCTTGCCTCCCTCCCTCGCTCCCTATTTTTCCCAGAATTGTCATCAGATCCCACTTGAAATTTCTTGAAATCCATTTTTTTAGTTGGAGTGTTGGCCAGGTTTCTGTCCAGTGGTGTTTTTCTAACTCTCTGTGCTTTCTTCTTGTGGCATTTCAACTGCTTATTTTGAACACATTCCATCGCCTTCGTTCCAACCTCCCACCTTTCGGAGTTGCTCACAATTCTTCTTCAACCCAGCATTGTCTTTTCTTGTCCAAACCAATGTTATGCAGGAGATAATGTGCCAAAGAAAATTGAACAATTTTTCTGTTTGTGTCTCTCCCTTTCCTTAAAGAATGCCACTAAGAGTAAGTGGGAGAGTCGTTCTGTCAAAGGAGATAAGCGTGCTGTGTTGTGACCGCTTCATCCAAATTTACAACTTTGTTATAATTTTCCTTATTTTTTNAAAAAAAACTAACTGGTTGAGATCTGGTGAAAGGCTGGTGGAAATCTATGCGATGTGCTATCTCCATTTTATTAATAATAATCCTTGCATTTGATATAGCACTTTTCCCGTCTTCTAGACGTCGCAAAGCATTTCACAGAATAGGCTATAATATTTGTGGGTGAAACACGGCAGGCAATTGTGCACAGCAGCGTCCCACAAACAGTCGTGGATTGAAGTGACCAATTTATTATTATTTTTATTTTCTTGAGGGATTATTATCAGGCGTGTGGAGTAAGGAAACTTGCCCAAGGTCTCACCCTGCTGGGAATTGAACCCAGGTCTCTCGCTTGCAAAGCAAGTGCTCTAACCACTGAGCTACAAGACTCCACTTTGAGAGGCTGATTGTGGGATCGCTACAATTTTGAATGAACTGCCCTTCAGAATGAGATGTTCAATCAAGGTCCCGTCTGCTGTTCGCTCTGATGTTGTTGGAAAAGAGAAAGAACATTTTTATGGCGTCCTGGTCAATAATCCTCCAGATTAGCCTGGACAGGGTTGGTAGCACTCTCACCTCTTGTTCAGAAGATTGTTTCAAGCTCTATGACATGCCTTGGAGCTTCTAGTCTAGACTCCCATTTCAGCACAATGCTACATTGTCAGAGGTGTTCACTGGGAGTCATCTCCACTCAGCTCCTGTTAAACCTGCAAGTCAAGCCCTGATGGTCCTAGCTGAACAAGCAATGGGAAAGCTTGCCACGGCAATATCAATGGCAAACTATGAGGTTTTAGCTGGTTAGACTCCAGCAGTTACCCCAACATGGGGTCCCAAAGCCTTGGTTCTTGTCAGCCTGTGCCTAATACTTTCTGGAATTAAGTAGGCAGTATGCGTCCCTCCAGTGAGAGAGTAAGCATTCCATTCTAACAATATATCTCTGGGATTTCCATTTGTAGGTGGGATGCAAGGAATTGTCAGCTTGGTTTGGATACTCCTCAGTATGGTGTTGAGTTTCCGCGTGGACCAGACACCGAGCTTGGGAGGAAAAAAAATCTTTCAGATGAAATCCAGTCTCTGACTGTTCAACTGCTGTTCCAAGACCTTTAAATCCCATTTCCCATTCAATTGCATTGCCCAACCATGAAGAAATACCTGCTTTTACTGCCTGATCAGATGAAGGTGTAAGATTCTGTGATTCTTTTTTAGTTAAGAAAACGGGAATTTCTTCTGGTGTCCCCAGCCAACAATCCTCCCAATTAACCGTCTGTGTGAGGGAACTTTGATGGTGGAAATGCCCTCCATCTGTGCCTAGAAAAACACAATGGCAATAATCACCTGTGAAGAGCTTTGAGAGATTTCAATGGGATCGGGAGCTATAAACATGCAAGTTCTTTCTCTCTCGTAGTCTATCAATGGAAGAGTGAAGGAACAGTGAAAAAAAGGTTTAGAACACTTCTTCCCCCACTGATTAACCTTTTGTACTGTTAGTGTAGAAGTTGGATGTTGCCTGGGGCAGGACATCACTTTCTTTTGTAACTATTTGATCTGGTTCCTCAGTTTTGTCAATGCATTCCGACCTTGAATAAATCAGCTTGAACCAAAGACACTGTAGCACACAACAGTGGGGTTTGATGAGGGTGAATTCCTGGCCAGGCCTGTACTGGTTCCTTGTGCCTCTGCCATACCCTCGACCACAAAAAGTACATCTCGATCAATCTGTTCCTATACTGTGCACGTTACCAGTCAGGAATGTGCTGATCAGATCTGTGTGTGCATTCTAGTCAAATCCACACAGAAACTATTGTGTAGAGGTTGCTCCACTGAAGGTCAGTTTGAACCTTTTAATTTCACAAATGAAACAATTACAAAAGGAAAAATATTCCATGTTGCACAATTATTTGTTCCATTGTCTCTTCTGTCTTATTCTTGCTACGTTTCTACAGGCAGCTGAGAACTGTTGCTGATTTTGCAGTAATGGTTACTCTAATAATAAAATAATAATATTACTTGCATTTGATATAGCGCTTTTCACGTCTCTAGACCTCTCAAAGCGCTTCACAGAATATGCTGTAAAGTGAATTGACCGTATATTTGTGGGCGAAACGCGGCAGCCAATTGCGTACAGCAGTGTCCCACAAACAGTCGTGGATTGAAAATGACCAATTTATTATTGTTTTTATTTTGGAGGGATTATTATTACAAGGATGTTAAGATGAGATGACAAAACCACCACGTTCAATGGTTTCCTCTTGGCTAAGCCATCGTTTCCAGGTCTCAGTGAGAGACAGACACAACAGAGGAAGTCAAAAAGTGAGCAAGGAGCACTGTAACTCATTGTGTGTCCAATCAATAACATTTTACCACCTCTCCCACCAACCCTATCCGATTAATATCTGTATAGACATAAACAGCAACGAGCAGACAACAAGAAACAACAACAAATAGTGAGGGGAATAGTGAGGGGAATTAACCAGCTAGACAGGGGCCGACTCTTCCCTCTAATAGAGGAGTTTCAACATATCTCTTTACCCAGGGGCCAGTTAACGACAGGTTGCCAGGCAGGGTAATTGTGTCCTGGATGCTGGATTCATATTAAAAAAGGAAGACAGTAGGGTTGGTAGTTTGGAAGATGAGATAGGATGGATAGAAGTGCCTTCTTCATCCAAACCAATCTTTTGATCTTGCCCAAAAGATGGGACACTCCTACAATTAGAACTGAGACTTTTCTAGATGTCCCAAGACTTTCCTCTTTGATCGTGCTTTCGGCCTCCCTCTCACCTCCCCTACCCCTCTTGCTCGGGTGCAAACCCTTAACTATGCGGCACCTTGGGACGTCCTTCTAATGTGAAAGGTAGATGTAATTTTGTTGTTGTTGAGACGGTTAGAAGTGAAATCAGAAAACATTTCTGAACACGAAATACTGCGAGGATATGGAATGCACTGCCTCAGTTGGCTGTACAGGCAGAGTCAATTGAGATGCTTGAAGGAGGGATAGCTAAAGACTTGGGAATAAAGGTGTTGCATTGAGGGATACTGTATGGAAAAGGTGGGAAAATGGATTAAAATTTCTGCAGAGATCTAATAACCTGGTGAAAATCCACTATATCAAATACAACGATTATTATTATTGTTGTTGCAGTCGCAGTCAATCTGAGTCTGTTTTTCACTTCTAAACAAGTGAGTGAAGGACATGAGCTATGCTGGTCAGAGGGCACTCAAGATCTGGCAACTGTGAAACCAATGAGTTCCCTAGAGCCTGGAGGGTTGTGGTATCTTCTGATCTCAGTACTATGAGAGTTTGCTCCACATCCCCTGAATTTTGCTCCCAGTGATTTTAAAAGCTTGGATTCCATCTGCCCTTAAAGGGCTGTATCCTGCGAGTTACTGACTAGGTGTGAGCTGTGTCTTAGCACAATAGTTTCACTCACACCAGCCTTTCACTTCTTCTCCCACAGTCTAATTCAGCTGGGCGAGATGCTGAACCGAACCTGCAACCGCTGTGAGGCTGCGTACCGTGTGCTCTACTGGGAAGATCACTCCATATCCTTCCTGTAAGTGAATGACTGTCAACAACACGTTTATAAAGCGCAGTTGTGCAAAATGAGCACCTCACAGCACTTGATAAAATGAGATGAATTTCGCCATGAAGTGAGTGTTTTTTTGGGGAGGTAAATGTGCCACCAGTGGAGGGGGGTGGGAGTCTCTTGGGTCCACGTGAATCATAAACCAAAGATTCAATTAACTTCAGGAGAGTTGGGAGTGAAATTGGGGATTGGGTGAGAAGGTCAGAAGTAGCCCACGTCAGTGTTTCACCATGAGATTTGAATTGAGTGATTCACAAAAGGATGGATTGTGGCCAGTCCTCTGGAACTCTGCTTGTACGCTGACCTTGGATCTCTGTGAACCAAGTGCCTCCTCGGAGTTCTAGACTGTGACACACCTGAGATTTTCTAATTACAAAACCTTTTGTAAACCTTGTAATTTAGAATCATACGAGTATTACAGCACAGAGGAGGCCATTCGGCCTATCATGCCTGAACCGACTGTTTGAAAGAGCTACCAACTAGTCCCACTCCCCCACTCTTATCCCAAACCCCTGTAAATGTTTCCTTTTTAAGGAATCCAATTCCCTTTTGAAACCTATTATCAAATCTATTTCCACCACCCTTTCACGCAGTGCATTCCACACCATAACACCTCTCTGGGTAAACAAATTCTTCTCATCTCCCCTCTGGTTCTTAGACCAGAATTAGTTTCAAAAACAAATTTCAAAGCGGAACAATGTACCTGGTCCAATTGGGGGTCCATGTAATCCCGACCACCTATAGTGGGCGCCGTTGCAGATTAACACTTTCTCACTGCGCGAGAAAGATGGTTGGTTCCATCAGCGCTTCAGTACACCAGCCGCTGGCACGCAGGAAGCCAAATGGATGACTTCTGGGTCACTGGGTCCCCATTGACAACACTTCCTGTGTGCTGCGAACAGATGCCTCAGAAGTCGGCTATTTGGGCTTCCTGCATGCCAGCCAACTTTTTGATGGAGTACATTTTGGGTGAACATTTTGGGGAGAGCTTTCAGCCACTCTGCCCCCAATCTCTGGAATTCCATCCCCCAGTCACTCCGCCTCGCCCCCTTCCTTAGCCTCCTTCAAGTCCCACCTCAAGACCCTACTCTTCAACCATGCCATTGGCCACCCTCCCCTCCCTCCTCCCCCCCCCAACCCTAGCTCGGGTCTGAAATGCTGTACTCTGTCCAGTGCCTTGGGACGTCCTCCTGACATGAAAGGCGCTATACAAATGTCATCTTGTTGTTGTTTGGTTAAGTAAATGTCACAGTCCAGAACCCAATAAGCAAAATCACATTATAATGAAGCGTGTGATAAGAGGTTCTGCTGGATTCATGATTCTAGTACTTGTCTGTGTTATACAGTGTTGGGGGTGTAACTCAGGATATTTGCTGTACTTTTGTTTTCAGGTTTTATGGATCTCTGCTGGGAGCACTCTCTGTTTTTTACTTACTGCCGCTCTGCTGGGTCCTAGCGTTGCTGAACAGTGCGTTATTTCTGGGAAACAGAGATTTTCACAGGGGTAAGTGAGCCAAACATTCTGCAGCATAGGCAGCGGACACATGGGGCAGACTCCCCATCATTAATGCCTGATGCTGTGTTAATTAGCCTTTCAAAAACAAAGCTGGCTGACCCATCAAAGGGAACCATCTCCGTGCAGTGTTTAGTTAAACTTTCAGCGTTTGTATTATTTACATTAACGTTTGAATTGGTGTAAATTGCACTGAAACTCATTGTAATATTACGCCATGTAATCAACGCACGGCATTTTTAGGCCCTTCTTGAAGAAAAAAATTGGACCAGTTTTTTTTCATGACTGGAGTGAAAAATGAATGCCCCATTATATAATTTATACATTGTGGCAGAAGGATATGGGTTCAAGCCTCACTTTGGGACTCTGAGCTCACAGTCTAGCATAGTATTCTATTAAGAGTGCTGGAGGGAGCACTGCATTGTTGGAGATGCCGTCCTTCGGGTGAGGTGTTAAACCAAGGTTTGGTCTGAAGCTCACACGGACGTTAAAGATCCATGGCACCACTCAAAAAGAGAAAGGAGTTTCTCCTGGGGTCCTGGCCAACAGTCCCCCAAATAAAGAAGCTTTAGACGTCTCAATGACGTGATAAGGGTCTATATCAAACGCAAGGATTATTATTAATTCTAAGTAAATGCTGTGCTTGTGACATCAAAACACACAGGTAATTGGCGTCAGATGTAGTTACTGTGTGAGATCCAACGCTCTATTAACACGGCTCGTTTATAGTGCCGGAGGTTGTGCGTTGGACAAATGCATAAGAAGCCACTTACAGTGCGGTAAGTGACATCAGGCACCTAGATGTGGGGGTGTTATAATCTGCAATAAATAAAGGTGAAAGTTTATTTGAATTTATTCTAGGAATGTGATTGTTATCACTATATTCATACATTGTTATCACTAAATGTGGAGTCCTGTAGCTCAGTGGTTAGAGCACTCGCTTTGCAAGTGAGAGACCTGAGTTCAATTCCAGGCAGAGGGCGAAACCTTGGGCAAGTTTCCTTACTCCGCACACCTAATAATAATCCCTCCAAAACCAAAAACAATAATAAAATTGGTCATTTTCAATCTACGACTGTTTGTGGGACATTGCTGTGCGCAATTGGCTGCCGCGTTCGCCCACAAATATAGTCAGTTTACTTTACAGTGTGTTCTGTGAAGCGCTTTGAGACATCCTCCCGACGTGAAAAGCGCTATATCAAATGCAAGGATTATTATTATTAAATTCAGCAGTGCATTCGCTGAGCAAACGGGCATGGTCAGTTTATGGCCTTGAACACCATTTTTGTTTTGTTACATTTCTGGGTGAAGTATGTGAACGCTGATGGACTCTGAACGTAAAAAATGATAGAAAATAGGAAAAAAAAATTGCTCTTTGTGAAACAGCTCAAAAAAAATCTAACCGCAGCACATACAATCCTCATTGAAGCAATTCCCAGTGTGAGGTGTCAGTTCCATGGAAAGTTGTAGTTCAAGTTTCCACCCTGTGGATCTGATCCAGGGCTGAACGACAACTTTCTTTCTCTCTCTCACTCTCACTCTTACTCGCTTGCTCTCTCTCTCAAGACTGAGGTCGGTCAAAAAATGTTTGTTAGGTTAGGGCATCAAGGCATATGGAGTAAAGGAGGGTAAATGGACTTCAATGGACTTGTGGAGTCCTGTAGCTCAGTGGTTGGAGCACTCGCTTTGCAAGCGAGAGACCTGAGTTCAATTCCAGGCAGAGGGCGAAACCTTGGGCAAGTTTCGTTACTCCACACACCTAATAATAATCCCTCCAAAACCAAAAACAATAATAAAATTGGTCATTTTCAATCTACGACTGTTTGTGGGGCATTGCTGTGTGCAATTGGCTGCCGCGTTCGCCCACAAATATACAGTCAATTCACTTTACAGTGTGTTCTGTGAAGCACTTTGGGACGTCCTCCCGACGTGAAAAGCGCTATATCAAATGCAAGGATTATTTTTCAGGTACCGATTAGCCATGGTCTACTAGAATGTTGTAACAGGCTCAAGGGGCTGAATGGCCTCCTCCTGTTCCTGTGTTCTTTTGCTCCTGGCTTTATCCTCTGTGTGTTTCTCTTTGCCTCTTTCTCTTTGCATCTTCCTCAATTGTATCAACGTACAGACAAGATGCTCTTGCAGGACAGAAAACAAGCGCAGAGCTATACTGTCAGATGGGCGATGATCAGCCAATGTTCTGTATAAAGGGAGGTAGGATCAACATCCAACTCAGAAGAATTCGTGTGATGTTATTTGGCTGTACTTAACAGGAACAAACTCAGCAAAGGGTTATGGCATTTTTTGATGATAGGTTTGCACGGGCAGCAAAGAAGGACTGGGAGAGGAATTGGGTCAGACATTCAGCCAAAGATAACAGGCCCCAGTTCTTAATGAGTATCATTAGGAACTGGGGCCTTTCTCAGTGCTGTTAGTGTAAATAAGGTGCAGTCTGGTTTAACGTTTCTTAAGGGTTATTAAAGCTCCTAATGTTTATACTGTGGTGCCAGACAGACAGATGGGGGGGGGGGGGGGGAGACTGGCAATGGTCTGGACCTATTGCCCTAGTTGTTCAATGAACAGCCTTGTTTCACACATTCTGTGCCATGTCTCATTTATGATCAGTGTTTAGTGTTGGTTGACCATGTGACATAATAATCTGCACCCTCAAGTGTGTTCCAAACCACCCTCGTTTCAGATTGAGGGAATGGCACTTCACTGTCCATGTAGAATGAAGTATTTTGCAGTCCTGCAATGGGAAGCCCTTTCCTCATGCTGGGGGGGAGATGAATACAACTGAATAGAGGACTTTTTTTGGTCAGCCGTGTGACCTGACACACGCGGAAACCCATCACCGTGCTTTAGAGTATCCAAACCAAATTGAGATTTCCATGCATCCCACCCACACATAGAAATCCCAGACATAGATTGTGGGAATGGAATGCGCTCTCTCTCCCTGGAGGGACGCTTCCTGCTTACCTAATTCCAGAAAGTACAAGGCGCAGGTTGACAACAGCCAGAGAGGATTTGAATTAGATGAACTCGCTATTTGCCCACCACTCTGTCAGCGAGACAGATGTAGCACCAAACTGACGAGATGCAAAGTGAGTTGATATTGCTGGTCCTTGGCTTTCACTGAGGACTGATGAGGTGGGCACAGAAGGGAGAGTCAATGCTCCTCTGTGGAGTCCTGTAGCATAGTAGTTAGCACGCTCGCCTTGCAAGTGAGAGGACCCGAGCAGAGCGAAACCTTAGCCAAGTTTCATTACCCCACTTGCCTCTGTTTAACTAGCAGTAAGTAGGAATCCGGTTGTTAGTCGATTGGTGGATTGCTTTTCAGGGGTAATAACCTTTATCCCCCGCCCATCCCCTCCCCCCAAAAAATGTAGTCACTCACACCTCGACTGTTTGTGGGCACTGCTGTGTACAATTGGCTGCAACATTCCGCCACAAAATATACAGTCAATTCACTTTACAGTATATTCTGTGAAACACTTTGAGACGTCTCAACAACGCGATCAGGCGCTATATCAAATGCAAGGATTGTTATTATTTGCGGCTCACGTTCCACCAGCTTTTTAATGCAGGGCAGGTCTTCATATGAGACATTAAATGAGGGCGTATCTGCCCGTTCATGTGCACGGCAAAGATCCATGATGCTACATGAAAAGAAAGGAGTTTCTTCTGATGTCCTGGACAACAATCCTCCAGATAAATGTTCACCTCATTGTTAGTGCACAAAACACAGAATTACTCTACATTATGTCCTAAGACGCACTTTGAGATGTTCTCCTGATGTGAACAGTGCTGTATCAAATGTAATGATTATTATTATTGCTGCTGTTTTTGGGACCTGGGTAAAATGGCTGTGGTGTTTACCTATGAATACACAGTCCCTATATTTGACCATAGCTATTGTAAATTGCTTTGAAACATTTCAATGAAATAATACAATAGAAATCTACATTTCTATGGCGGCTTTCCCGTCGGGAGGATGTCCCAAAGCTATTAATCAGGCGTTTTTCTTTCATGCTTTGATTTATTAGACCACTAGTTTGGTTAGTGATGTAATGCTTTCAGAGAAATAAATCCTCCAAAATTCCTGGGCAGAAATATAATCGGAACAAAAGTTAGAGCTGGACGGGGGAAGAATGAGGGATGGGAACTGGCACGGCGATCTTGGTTTTCAGTGAGATTGCAGACAGGCTGATGGCCAGTGTTAGAGGGATGAGCTGAGAGGAATGCATGCATAAGCTTCGGGCTTGTCAGCTTCGACAAGCTCAGACTTTGAGAAGTCTCAGAGGATTTTCCAAAGTGAAGTCAATTGCCCATTCTGTTAACACAATAAAGCCACTGGGGGGCGACATTTGCTCATATCTGCTGCAAAGGGATATTAATCCCTATTGGATTATAGAGCACAGTCGGGCGTAGCTTTGTCTTTCACTGAGCAGCCAAAGATTAATTGCGTACTCTGAGAGTTCACCTATTGATCGCCTGCAAGTGGACACTCACAGCATATTAAAGCCAATCCTGTGAAGCACTTTGTGATGTTAGTATTTTTATTGTTTGCATGATTTTTCTTTCTCCAATCGGTGAGAACCCTACCTGCCACACTCCTTAAATGAGACGTGAATATTAATAATAATCCTTACATTTGATCGAGAGCCTTGTCAAGTCACAGAAAAGTCTCAGCCCTTCACAGGATTTTACTGTAAAGTGTGTATTTGCCAATCCCTAACTCTGAGATTCCCACGCCTTGGCTCTTGCCAACCTGTGCCTAATACTTTCTAAAATGGATGCGTCCCTCAAGGGAGAGAGTGCGCATTCCAGTCCAACAATTTATCTCTGGAATTCCCATGTCTAGGGTGGGATGCATGGAATCATCAGTTTGGTTTAGATACCCTTAAGCACGGTGATGGGTTTTTGCATGTGTCAAGACACCCAGCTGCCCTCCCATATATATATATATATATTATACATATATATATTTGCAGTAGAACATGACAGCCAATTTGCACAGAGTAAGTGAACCACAAACAGCCACAAGTGACCTGGGGCAATTAGCTGGAGGATTGTCGGCCAGGACAGCAGGAGAAACTTATGCTTGGAAGTTTGTTTACCCATTAACCTCAGGGTCAGGTTGGGCGCTATAAGGATAGCACCCAGTCATCTTGTTCCCTCCTCTGGAACCTCTCCTGCTGAGTTGAAGGCAGGTGAATGTGAGAGATCATCTCACAGTGGGGTATAAATGAACCCCTAACCGTGGGCTGCCTCGGCTCCACATCTGGTACTGGTTCCAGCGTGGCTTGCTTTTCCCTCAGGGAGGCCGTCAAGTGCAGATAGTATGAGTAGGGCATTAACACAATGAAAAATATCCTGCTGCCGGACAATCACGAACTCCTGACTGGAACGGCTGAGAGCAAATGCAGGCTAATCTCATTAGAAGCAGTGGAAGCTAGCCCCTGTGCCCCCCGCTTCCATTTGAAGTTCTGTTAACAGTCAGCAGCGGAGCTCAGACTTCAATAAGATGAACCCTGATTAGAACAGGGTTCCTGGATTAAGAGTTTACAATAACCAGGTCTGACAGGGCTCCATAGTGCCTCAAAGCAGCCAGGGAAAGGTCCATCAGTTTTACGGTTGTGTAAAGGATATGGCGAAAAAGGCAGGAGAATGTGACTGAAGAGGAATCCCTTAGCATAGTGGTTAGTGGGCTCGCCTCGCAACGAAAGGACTCGGGTTGGATTCCGGCGGGGCAGAACCTTAGACATGTTTGCTTACACCACACACCTCTGTTTACCTAGCAGTAAGTAGAAACCTGGTTTTTAGTTGATTGGTGGATTGCTTTCCGGGGGTAATAATCCCTCCAGATAACTCTTATTCTCTTTTGAATTTACTCCTGATCGCTAGGATTTATCTCCAAACTATGACAGTCACAACACCCACATTTTGCATTTATACACCTCCTTTTGTGCAAGATAGAATCTCAGAGCGCTGCGCAGTGCGGGGTTAGATAACGAAGAAGGAAGAAGGGGAGGGGGGAGGTGACCATAGGGATGGTGACAGAGGCATGTCTATACTTTACAGTAAATAATGTGAAGCACTTTATTAAAATAATACTTTCCATTTGATATAACACCTTACAGAATATACTGCAAAGTGAATTGACTGTATATTTTGTGGGTGAAACGCGGCAGGCAATTGCACACCGCAGTGATCCACAAACAGTCATGGATTGAGTGACCAAATGATAANTTTTTTGGAGGGTTTATTTCCTCCCCCGAAAACAATGAGTCAATTGACTAACAACCAGGTTCCTATTTACTGCTTTGTAAACAGAGGCGGATGGAGTAAGGAAACTTCCTATGGTTTCGCCCTGCCTGGGAATCAAACCCACGTCCTCCCTCTTGTGAGGCGAGCACACTAACTATTACGCTACTGGAGTCCACTTTGAGGTGTCCTTGAGGTGAAAGGCACTATAACAAATGTAAGGATAGAGGATTCATTTACCGCAGTATGTAATTATTATTGGGCCACACTTGGTAGCACGTTAATCTCCCGCTACCTTTCTCTTGGGAGTAATGGATAAGTTCCTACTCCTTTTCCCCTCTTATATGTGTCTGATGTTGTAACTTTAGTAAGGTTGTCCTTTATGGATTGCATCATTCTAAAACATTTGTGTTTCATCCAAATGCATTTCATAGTGTTCCATTCAAATCATTCGCTAAACGGATAATAATAAATACTTGGGAGCAATTATAAAACTGTAATCTAATCAAATGGTTTAGACAGTTTCAATATAAAATAACAAATAGCTTGGGAGCGGTTATAAAACTATAATCTAATTGAGGCATTCTGAAAGTTTGGAGGCTGAATAATAGATACTTGGAAGTGTGGTAGGACTTTAATCTAATTGACTGCTCAGATGGTTTGTGTATATAATGGAGTGATTGCAAGGAAGCAATCTAATCAAGAATTTCAGACATCACAAACCATGAGAACAATACTCAAATTCCTTCTATCCCTCATCTGAACCTAGAGATTAAGTTACTGCCTACAAATCATTGTGAGTTGTTTTCATAGTCACAGAATGGTACAGCACAGAGTCAGGCCATTTGGCCCATCAAGCCTGCGTTGGTTTGCTTTCTCAGCGTGAAACACCCACTCCCCTGTTCCCCCCTCAAGCATCCAGTGCCTTGAGACATCCTCCCGACATGAAAGGCGCTATATAAATTTTGTAATTTTGAATTTATTGTATATATTTCCCCCTTGAAAGAATCCTTGGAGAATTCATGTAGAGAATTCCAGATTCCAACTAACCTCCATGTAAGGAAATGTTCTCTAAACATCCCCTTTAATTCCTTGTTGTGATTATCTTAAATTTCTGCCCTCTCGTTACTGACTCACAGGCCAAAGAATGTGGAATTTAATGTCTCCACGCACTACACGGTAATTGCTGTAAGTGTAGTGACCGTTTTTGTAGGCAAATGTCTGTCTAACCACAAGAGTGAAGTAGGAAGAAAGAATTGCATGTTACCCCCTCGAGACTTGTTAAAACCTCTACTGCTGATTTGTCATTGTGCCGACAAATAGTAATGAAAAGTTCATGAATCTCACGAAATACAGGCAATCGCCTCCTCACACAAGGGGGCTGAATGTGGAACTTACTGCCTGAACCTGCGGTTGAAGAAAAAAAGCGCCCATAATAATAATATTAACGATTCTTGCATTTGATTTAGCGCCTTTCACGTCAGGAGGATGACCCAAAGTGCTTCACAGAATATATTGTAAAGTGACTGGGTGTTGGTAGGCAAGTGTTGATTCAGCCCAAATCAGACCTGTGTAATTCTGTAGGCATCACACCACCGAGTGCACTGGTCTATTGAACCAATGAGGAAAGGGGGTGATGATGGGTGTGGGGGGGGGGGTATAGTCTGCTCTGACCTCCTAACTCCTTACCAACCTATCCGCTCCCTCCGCTTCACGTCCCCTGCCTTGCCCACCTTACCATTGGGGGGAGTGGGCCTTCAGTCTCTTTGCCCCCACCCTCGAACTCCATCCCGCAGTCCCTCCTCCTCATGCCCTACCTTGCCTCCTTCAAGGGCCGTCTCAAGACCCTCCTCTTTGACCGTGCCTCCAGTCACCCGCCTCCCCCTGCCCTCCACCCCTCCTGATCCCAACCACCAGCTTGGGTGTGGTTCCCTGACTGTCCAGCGCCTTGGGATGTCCGCTTGAATGAAAGGCGCTGTACAAATGTAATTTCTTGCTGCTGCTGTTTAAGATGCTGGTTTGAGCAGCTCGTGGCTCACTTAGAGTTGCTTGGTTTTCTCATCATCGCCTTTTCCCTTCTTGTGCCTATGTTCCCGCAGTTATAACTGATTACAAGGGAGCGTTATTCCAGAATATTAAATGTAACGCTCAGGGGGTGGTGGCACTCACCGAACCAGACGGAACCTTGAACCTGGACCCGACCCTGACATCAGGCACCCCTGAGGTAAGAAGCATTGTACAATCCTGCCCCTCAAAACCCTTACCAAAACCGCAGCTCATGCCCCCCCCTGCATGCTTCCCTGGTGAAGGGTGCTATATAAATTCAAGTTGGTGTTCTGTGTCGTCTTTACGAGGGCGAAAGTCAGGACAAAGATCTGAAAGTTGATATGTTGTAAGCTGCGTACACATTATAAAACAGTATAAATTTACACGTGTATAGTACAGAAGGATGTCCCAAAGCATTTAGCAATGCTGGGCACCCGAGCACATACAGACTGCTCACTAAATCCTGTTACCCCCCTCCCCTGTTACCAAACAGCGACGTGAGACTACGGAGGAGCTGAAACAAGCTGTCGGAGATGCATTTCCCCTCCTCACTCCATCCATTTCAGGCAATGTGGCACTGAACATGGCAATGGATCAGGGGTACCAGGAGACCTAATAGAGGTCTTCAAAATCATGAGGGGATTTGATAGGTTAGAAAGGGAAAAACTGTTTCCACTGGTGGTTGTGTCGGTGATTCGAGGTCACAGATTCAAAATAGTCTCTAAAAGAAGCCGAGGGGAGGTGAGAAGAAATTTTTTCACGCAGCGAGTTGTTGGAATCTGGAATGCATTGCCTGAAAGGGCGGTCGAGGCCGATTCGATAACTACTTTTAAAAACGCGGCGGACGGGTATTTGAGGAGCATGGGTTTGCAGGCGCTACACACCCATCCTCTGGTCATCTAACTATAATTAAACACTTGTGCTGAATACTTGTAAATACAATTATCATTCTTCTACATGTTTCAGTTGTTGGCCAGTGGACTATTAGAAACAACAATCAACAATGCAGTGACAGGACTTTGTGGGCACCCTGTACAGTAATAGAGATTGCACTCACAAGCGGAAGGTTTGACAGGGATAGTTCCTTCAGCAGATCACAGTGGCATGATTGACTTTCTGTGTGCTGAATGTAGTATCTGAGCGAGGAATAGAAGTTGAAGGCGTTAATCTGGTAGACGTCAGATATCATTCAGGTGATGAAGTGGAGTGAGAATGAGAGAGAGATTCTACTCTTTGTTGTCTACCTGCTTCCCTTCCAGAAAATGGGTGGGAATGGGGGTGGGAGGGCATTGCCAAAGATGCTGTCCTTCACATGAAGCAATAAACTGGGGGTTTCAGGTGAGCAAGGATCTCACAATTGGAAGCAAGAAGGAAGTCAATGATCCTCCAGATTGATTTGCATCTTGTGCTTAGATAGAGTGATACAGCTCGGAAACAGGCCATTCAACACAACTAGTCTGTGTCAGTTGTTTTGTGGGATCTTGATGTGTGCAAAGTAGTTGCTGAATTTACCTGCAAAAACAGTTACTACACTTGACTGTAGTTATTGTGGAGTGCTTTGAAACCGAGCAATGAGATAAGGAGCTACACAAGTGCAAGTTCTTTCTTTGTTTCCGAGCTGGGGTTTGCGAAATGTTTTATATCGGGTTGAGTCTGAGGACAATGCGTTAGGAGACTTTAATCTCGTCTGATGACAGGTGCCAGTGCTGGAGTCTTTCGCTCTCGCTCACCGTTAAATGTGTTCATTTTTCGCACTTGATTCGCTTCATGGCTGTTTGTGAGACGTTGCTGTGCGTCTATGGCGTTCGCCTACAAAATACAGAGTCGCTACACTTTACAGTAAATCCTGTAAAGCACTTTGAGACATCTCGATGATGTGGAAGGCGCTACATTAAATGCAAGGACTATTATTATTTTATTGTTAGAATGGAGTCACACAGTTGCTGTGTAAATGGTGATTTACTGCACTTTCTTACTAACTTTAAAATGCTCACCTCACTCACTCTCACAGCACCGAAGCTCCATCGCAATCAGTGATCTAATTACACGTCACTCACAGAAACTACACTGGCACGGATGGTTTCTGAGAGGGTTTGAGATCGGGTTCAGGCTGAATGGTTAATGCCTTGCCCCCACTAAGCGCTGTCTCTCGCTAACAAATTTATTTAATTAGCTAAGCTTTCCAATGACCTCATATTATTTTTAGAGTCAGACAAAATAGACATAAGTGACTGAATCAACAGGCTGCATCCAGTGGGGCCTGGGGTCTGCACGGAGCTGGTGTAAATGAGAGCCAGCTGCATTACCCTGCTCTCACTGCACCAGGTGACTGGGCTCTGCTGCAGGCACAGTCCAGCCAGTTTAGAAAGGGCGTCTGTTGTGTGTCAGTAGGGATAGCGTTCTCGTTACTGAGTCAGAAAGTTGTGGATTCAAGCCCCCATGTCGGGACTTGGAATCACATAGTCTAAGGTGATGCCCCAAAGCAGCGCTGGGAAGGGGATGTCACATTGTCAGAGGTGCTGTCCTTCAGCCATCCCAATCCTCTGTGTTTTCTTGCAGCCCTTCACACTGGCTCTCTCCGCTTCCTTTGCCAATTCCCTTTCAATATTGTCATGACCTCAGGTTACCAGTGACTAGCTCTCCAAATGTCTAAAATTATGTGAAAAAAACACCTCCCCAAGTGGCTTCTCTCGTTTGTGTCACACTTGTGGAGTCCTGTAGCATAGTGATTAGCATGCTCGCTACGCAAGGGAGAGGACCTGGGTTTGACATGAACGAAACCTTAGCTAAGTTTCCTTACTCCACATGTTTACCTAGCAATAAGTAGGAACCCGGTTGTTAATCGATTGGCGGATCGCTTTCCGGGGGTAATAATCGCTTCAAATCAATAAATAAATAATAATTGGGTCAGTCAATCCACAACTGTTTGTGGGACACTGCTGCACAATTGGCTGCTACGTTTCACCCACAAAATATATGGTCAATTCACTTTACAGTATATTCTCTGAAGCACTTTGCGATACCCGTGATAAGGCACTGTGTCAAATGCAAGGATTATTATTATTATTGTCAGCAACCAATGGAGTAAGCTTGTGAATACAGATCCTCTCCAAACCTTTCATAGAGCCCAGGGCCTCAATTCAATCTCCTTTCCACCTTCCCAGCTCCAGTGAATATGCAGAAATATATCTGATCTCAAAGAAACCAAAGCAGTACTCAGCAGCTGCTTCCAAATTTTGTGTATTTGTTTGATCTAAGCCAGAAATCAAAGTGCTGATTACCCTGAAGGCTGCCCAAAAGCATTAATTCCACCAGATCTGGAACAACCCACTTTCCTACATGTTGCCACTAGTTCAGGTGATTGGTTTTACTAATCAAATAATAACCAGGTTCCTATTTACTGCTAGGTAAACAAAATCCGGGTTGTCTTGCTTGTGAGGCGAGTGCTCTAACCAATACGTAACAGGACTCCACCGAGTTACTTTTAATGGAGTATTCCTGGATACGTTGGATGCCATTCTTGGCATCATAAGATCCATCATGATCTAATAAAGTAGCAGATCAGGTTCAGCAGACAGTGTTCCTGCATTGTTAACTATCCAGTGTGCATTATAAACAGACCAGATATCCTTCGCACAGCTTGGTGTGTTACATGAGGATATGGTGTGTATGTTGGAACAGCTGGAAATGCACAGTAAGAGGTACAAAGCAGTCATAAGTGCCAATCCTTAACAAGCTTGCTCTGAATAAACCCTGACTGAGCAATAGCCTAATCTAAGGAATTGCAGGTGTCCAAACAGTGTGTCAGTCTCTGCCCGTCTCTATTTCGCTCCCCCCACTCCATAATTACCCCCGATTAAAAGACCCGTCTCCAGTACGTGCTGCTTGATTACCGCTCTTGTCAATTTAAACGAGTTGTTAGATGTTGGAGTTGACTTGTATGCTGTAGGGTTAGGCTGGCCATGTAAAAATAATCCTTATTATTAATAATAATTCTGACATTTAATACATCGCCTTTTCATCTCACTGAGATGTCTCAAAGCGCTACCCAGAATATACTATAAAGTGAATTGACTATTTTGTGGGCAAAATGCAGCAGCTAATTGCACACAGTAGTGTCCCACAAACAGTCATGGATTGAGTGACTGACTTTATTTATTTATTTACTATTTATTTATTTATTTAGAGGGATCCACTAATCGACTAACAACCAGGTTTCTACTAACTGATAGGTAAACAGAGGCGTGTGGAGTAAGGAAACTTGCCTAAGGTTTCACCCAGCCCCGCAATCGAGCCTAGGTCCTCTCGCTTGCAAGGCGAGTGCACTATCCACTACATTACAGGACTCCACACAGGATCAATACACAGTGATGTTAGAAACAATCATCCCACCCCAACCACTACGCTACGGTACGCCCTTTTCTGGTTTGTTAGTCATTCATCTCATTGCTGCGTGTGGGGGGGCATTGTTGGCACAGGTTAACTGTTGTCATTGTCTACATAATAAGTCGCTGCACATCCAAATAACTGAGAGGTTTCAGTTCTATAACAAAAGCACGTCTTATTTATTATTGCTGGTGATCAGCTGGGAATGCTGAAGAGGGGAGGCCACGATTCTGGCGAGAGCGCTATCTTGTTTATTTTCCTTGTCCCCGAGTTCAATCTTTACAAATGATTACAGAAAGTAACGCTGAATTATTTTCTTTTCCAAGGAAATCAGCGCTGGGAACCTGGAGGAGAGTGAGGAGCAGGAGCCAGAGGATGAGTTCAAAGATGCAATAGAGGTGGGTTTGATAGCTTCTCAACAACTTGCTTTTGTATAGCGCCCCTCACGCAGGGTCATGTCCTAGAGCGCTTGACAGTAGTGGAGCACAAGCTGGGGAGGGGGGAGGTGACCGTAAGCACGGTCACAAAAGGAAGGTCTTCAAACGCGACCTGAAGATGGTGAAGGAAGGGGTAAGACGGAGGGATTCTCAGTGAGGATGGCAACTTTCTCTACTTGCGTGTGTGGCAAGGTGCTTTTGAGAGTCTGTGCAGTGCTGTGACCACCCACACAAGATGGTGCCAGAGTGGGATTATGACCTTGTCATGGATTTACGTTAACGAATACACAAATGATAAAAGCCATTAACACATTACCAGCATTTTTGTTCCCTCCGCCAATTTTCTTTCTTCCTCTCCCGAAGGCCATTGTACATTTTTAATAATAATAATAATCCTTATATATGCCAAGGCGCTGATACAGTCAGGGATTTGGACCCGAGCTGGTGGTTGAGATCGGGAGGGGTAGAGGGCAGGGGTAGGTAGGTGATCGAAGGCGCAGTCGAAGAGAAGGGCCTTGAGACATGCCTGGAAGGAGACGAGGGAAGGGGCAAGGCGAAAGGACTGTGGGATGGAGTTCCAATGGGTGGGGTCAGAGAGGCTATAGGTCCGACCGCCGATGATGTGGGGTTCCCAGTGGGGGACACGTGTTAGTTACGTCCTTGAATCACTCTGGTTTCATTCTTCAGTGAACGGCAGAATCCAGTCCTTCATCTTGTTTATCCTGATGGAGATTGTGGGAAGATTGTTGTGACTGAGTAACTGCAGTGCTGTATTTCTGGATCACAGCGTGAACCGCTAGAGAACTCTTGTGAATAAAATGTTACTTCGCAGCTTTGTTATTGCGCTGACGTTTCCATGTTTATACCAAACTCACCAGGTGAAACATACCATTGACACAGAATAATAATAAAAATAATCTGTGCATTTGATATAGTGCCTGATCACGTCGTTGAGACGTCTCAAAGCGCTTCACAGAATACACTGTAAATTGAATTGTTTGTGTATTTTGTGGGTAGCCAATTCCGCACAGCAGCGTCCCACAAACAGTCGTGAATTGAGTGACTAAATTATTATTATTTTATATATTTTTTGGAGGAATCGTTCCCCCAGATAGCAATCCACTGATTGACTAATAACCAGGTTCCTACTTACTACTAAGTAAACAGAGACGTATGGATTCACGAAACCTACCTAACGTTTTGCCCTGCCCGGGACTCAAAACGGATGCTCTCGCTTGCGAGGCAAATACCCTAACCACTGAGCTACATAATGTGCGGGGAGCGATCAATACTGTTGATACACAATAAGGGGTTGACTAAAGGTCCATGATGCTGGTGAGCGGCTGTTGGAATATTGGTGAAAGATGGATGTTTCGTGATAGATTTGATGCATATAAATACTATAAATTTATAGAACATTTCAACTAGTATCAGGCTTCAGAACGTTTTGTCTTAAACTTTAAGATGGAGTAGAATTGTGGCAAATTCTCAACTTCTTAGTTTAACTCTTTTTAAAAAGCTTCCAGGTTAGCACTTGAGGGTTAGAATTCTCCACAATGTTGCACAAAAATAAATTTGAAGGTAAAATGGTCTCATAGGCAAAGGCCAAGTGGAATTTCCGACACTGCATTTTTCTAATGACTTGTGTTCCTCAAGACTGGCTTTTTGACAGTGGTAGGATGTGAAAAAATACAAGTTCTTTTTCTCTCTTCCCTTTCAGTCTCCTTCTCTCCTTTTCTCTCCCTCTTTCTATCTTTTTCTCTCTCTTTCTATCTTTTTCTCTCTCTTTTCCCCTATTTCTCTCTCTCTCTCTCCCCCCTTCCTGTGGGAGAGATGCTGGTGCCCGAGAGACTATAGCCTGGCATGTATCACTGGCTTCAGGAGGGAGGGTGTACAAGGCGGCAGGGGGGTGGGGGCAGGAGAGAAAATAAATTTATAGAAAATCACTTCTGCAGGTGTTGTGTGAAAGACAAGCTGTACAGGAAAAAAAAGTTCTCCATTCAATCGAGAAACTATGCCAAAAATGCACACTGAAAATAAACAGGACCTTATTAAAAATATCTATCTGTGAATGAAGACTTGCTTGCCATTCCTGCAGACTTTCTGCTAAGGGAGTGGCAGGATTGTGACCATGTTCAAACAGACATGGTTTAGGAGTGGGCGACAAATTCGGGAGCGTTAATTTGTGATGCAGCATTAATCATTTTTGTTTCGCCTACAAAATATACAGTCACTACACTTTACAGTAGTAGTACACTTTACTGAGAAGATCTTTGAGACATCTCAAAGATGTGAAAAGGCCGTATATCAATACTAATAATCCTTGCATTTGATATAGCACCTTATCACATCTTTGAGATGTCTCAAAGCGCTTCACGGAATATACTGTAGTGACTGTGTATTTTGTGGGTGAAACGCGGCAGTCAATTGCACACAGCAGTGTCCCACAAACAGTCATGGATTGAGTAACCAATTTTTTTGGAGGGATTATTACCCCGGGAAAGCGATCCGCCAATTGACTAACGAACAGGTTTCTATTTATTGCTGGGTAAACAGGCATATGGAGTATGGGAACTTACCTAAGGTTTTGCCCCACCCGGGAATCAACTGGCCTCAGTTCTCGCTACCCTTGTTTGTGTCTTCGTGTCTTGCTTTTACTTAATGCTCCACTCCGCTCTCATTTTCCCTCTCTTTTAAATATATAATATATATATATTCACATATATTATGTATAATTAGACTTGGAAAAGGTTCTGCTTCAGGGAGTTGAACTTCCGAAGCAAATTCTCCAGCGAGTTGAGCACATGTTTCCATTCGGCAAGTGCCCAGAACCATTTGTGTATCCAACACGTGGTCTTATTGTACCTGGGAGAGTTTTGTGTGTATGGGAGGGGGCGTGGGGAGGCGCCTGGATTGAGGCTTCTCTTTTACTGGAAACATATTGAATTTTAGCACATGATCCATTTAGCCCAATGTGCCTGTGCACAGCTGCCTATAGAATCCCCTTTATTATTACCAGGTATATTTGTATATTGCCTTTCACGTTGAGAGGACATCCCAAGGTGCTGGACAGTCAAGAGTTTGCACCCTATTCAAATTTACATAGTTGGAAAGGTGTTATAGTCCTCTTGGGAATCCTGTACAGGAGTGGTTAGCGTGCTCACCTCGCAAGCGAGATGACTTGTGTCGATTCCCGGGCAGAGCAAGTTTCCTTACTCCACACGCCTCAGTTTACATAGCAGTAAGTAGGGATCCGGTTGTTAGTCGATTGGCGAATCGCTTTCCGGGAGTAGTAATCCCTCGAAGTAGGAAAGGTGACCTAAAGCACTGTCGTACAGACAGACGTTGAACAAGTTGGGCGACCTCCTTCCCTTGGACCTTAGTCCCACTCTCTAGCTCTTTCCCCGATCCTTTTATGTTGTTACTGTTCTGGGAGCCTCTCCAGTTCTCTTTTAGATGATTGTCAATCTTGGTAATGAATTTCACACTCATTGTCCTCACTCCCTGAGTGGAGAAATTCACACTTGCGAGGCGACCAAAATCTTTGCATTTGATATTGCGCCTTTTCTGTCGAGCAGGACATCCCAAAGCGCTTCACAGAATTTACTGTAAAATGTAGTGAGTTCTTATAAACAGGCTCAGCAGCCAATTTCCACAAACAGCCGCGAGGTGAAAGTTGTGTAAGCCTCTGTCTTTAATGGACCTGCATACAGCAGAGCTTCTGTATTTGTTAGCAAACCTGATTCTTTAACCTCTTATTTGAAAGCATTCCTAAACCAATATTCTGCCTGTGCATTGCTAATTGCAAACACTCTAATACAATCTAGAGATCCCAAATCCTGACTTGTTTTAGCCTGTAAAACCATTTTATCACAAACAACAATAACTTGCATTTACACAGCGAGGAGCCTGACGCCAAGCTGGGGAGGGTGGTTTGGGGGGAGGGGTTGATAAAATCTGAAATAGCACAGAAAAGTGCAAAATCCTTCATTTCAGTTTTAGTTTGCAGGCAGATTTATTTTTTTGGAGAACTGCGGGGAAAAAAAATCTTCCAAATCAATACTAGGTTTAAGAATTTTTCACCGTTCTGAGAGAAAAGTCATAAATTTGGGAACAGAACTGGTCTGAGCGGGAGTGAGACAAGCAGATAAATTCAGGCCTCCGGTAAAGGACATTCTCATTGCAAATTGTGTTTGATTTCCTGCTGTTTTTTTGGGGGGTAGAGGGATAATAATAATAATCCTTGCATTAATACACCTTATCATGTCTTCGAGACATCTCAAAGCACTTCATATACTGTAAATTGACTGTAAATTGACTGTATAATTTCTGGGTGAAAGGTGGAATGAGTCAGTGGAATGAAAGTTCATTAGTATTACTCTACCCATGTGGTCCAACGTACCACCTGATGTTGCCAGAGATTGAGGGGGTCGAACCCACGGCCTGGATCTTACAGGGCAAACATTCCTCCTTTCCTTGCTTGGATGCGCTGTACACAAAATGTGCTCATCCCTTGCGTCAGCTGTGACCCAGTTTTAATGTTGAGCAAGCCCTCTTCCTCCCACTCAGAACGCCTGTTTCAGACAAATGTTGTTAAGCACTATAAGGTCAAACAAAAGTAGTGAGTGGAGCCAAGACATACAGATTGTAATGTTGAATAAGTGATCCATTGGGATATCTCTGAGAATCGGATTCATATTGTTTTTTGCCCAATACTGATTTTATTTCTTTCTCCTGCCCATCTCCTTGAGATATCTGACTCTTTTTTTCTATGTAACAGAGTTTCACTACGGCGCTCTTCACCCAACAGCCTATTCCTGCACCTGTTTATACACACCCACACACACATGCTTCTGTCCACTTTCCAGCCCTACTGGCTATCTCCTGCTTAACAACAACAACTTGCTTTTACATAGCGCCCCACGTGCAGGGCAGCGTCCCAGAGGGCTTGACAGTGGCGGAGCACGATGGCAGGAGAGGGGAGGTGATCATAAGCATGGTCAAAGAGGAAGGTCTTCAGACGCGATCTGAAGATGGGGAAGGAGCGGGGGGGAGCAAGGCAGAGGGATAGAGGAAGAGTGTTCCTAACCCAGTGACGTAGGTGAAACGTCTCATCTCCTGGCTTCTGAGCTGCCTCATAACTTAACACAGAGCAATGCTGAGTTTTCTATCCTTGATGATTGTAAGGTTCATCAGAATTCATGTGCTCTAAGCCCACTGTGCCATCACATCAGCGTTAATGCACTCTGGAGATCAGGGGGATTTCTTCACTAATATGAAACAGCAACAATAAGTAGAAGGCAGATGTTTGCAGGTTCATCTTATCCGCAATTTATGGTTGTTAAGGCCTCCAGGGATATGATGCTCAATATTGGCTCTCACTCAGGGTAAAACCAGTGCTGGCATGTATTTTATTTACTGCTGCATTATCTTCTACAAAGGAGTATCTTACACAACACAGGATCAGGAGGAGGCCATTCAGTCCTTTGAGCCTGCTCCACTATTCCATAAGGTAATGGCTAATCTGTACCTCGACTCCAATTACCCCTGCCCCTTATCCCTTGATACCCTGATCTAGCAAATATTTATCCACTCAGTCTTGAGAATGTGAATCCAGCCTTTTGGGGGAGTGAGTTCCAGATTTCCACGAGCCTTTGGGTGAAAAACGTTCTCCTGATTTCACTCCTAAATGACCTAGCTCTAATTTTAACATTATTAGGCATTTCTTTTCAAATATTTTATTTTTATGCCAATTTTTCTGCAGTTTTTTTTCTTCTCCTTTTATGACCTCCTTTGATCCATTACCTCCACTGAGGTTCAGCTCCTTGTGTGTGTGTGCCAGCCACCCTCACGTGCCGTGAGCATCACTTTACGTGTAAGGGAGCTTGTGAAGCCCATCCTATCCGAATACGCCATGGACAAACACGCATACACACCTAATAAATAATAATCCTTACATTAGATGTAGCGCCTCATCACTTTGTTGAAAAGTCACACGGTGCTTTGCAGGATTTTTGTTTCCATTGTAAAAGTGTAGTGACTGTTATTTGGGGCAGAGGCCTGGGTAGTGATGTGGCTGTCTGCTCCTGCCCCAGGAGGCGTGGAGGGTCATTGTAAGTCGAACTGCTGCCTCGACCGAGATCAGGCACTCAGTACAAGGTGGGGATTCGTACATGCAACCCTGCAGTGACGGGTGGTGCGTTTCCCCTGTAGACCACGAGGGACGCTGTAGCTACATGTTCTAGTCCACAACTAGCAAAGTATGTTAATTGAGTCTTATACACTAGAACTTCATTTATTGCTGTGGTGTCTGATCCCTCCTAAAGGAACGGCTTATTTACGATGCCTCTCTTTAAACAATTACTTACAAATCAACTGCACACATCTGCTATGAATAAAAATCATAATAATCTTTGCATTCTAAAAAAAGGGCCTATAACATCTCGACGTTTGAACGGCCTCAAACGCTTCACTTCTCTTTGCACCTTCCCCCTCTCCCCCCTCTCTAAATAAACATTAGATTTCCTTTTGTCCTTCCTACATACGGGCGGGGGGGCTATAAACCTCTGTATTGCTGCTGCCAATTCCTGCCATTAGATAGGGAGTCCAGGCACATCGAATAGAGAGCGAAGCGGAAATGGGTTTAAATGAGGTGTTTAATATTTGATGGTGTGAAATGGTGTTTTACTGCTCAGCAAGGATAGACTAAACACCCCGAGGCACAGTGCATTAGGGAGGGCTTTGTTGTAAAACTCCAGCCCGTGGCTTATGGTTACCATAAGATCCTGTTCACTAGCTGAGTCATAGCGTAGGCTTTCAATCTGCTGAGAGTGACTTGTGAATGTGCAAGTTTGCTTGTAAATGGGTATAAAATAAGGGCTTTTCGCACCTTTGTTTTACAATACAGTAAAACTCACACAAGTCTGATCTGTGTAAATGCTATAATCACCTAAGTCGTACATAATAATAATTATCCTTGCATTTTATATAGCTCCTTATCATGTCTGTGAGACGTCTCAAAGCACTTCATGGAATATATTGTAAAGTGTAGTGACTGAGTATTTTGTGGACGAAATGCAGTAGCAAATTGCACACAGCAGTGTCCTGGGGAACATCTGCCCAATTCCCGTTCAAGAGTTTATACGCTATGCAAGTTTGACATAACTCATACAGTAATTTGAACAAGTCTTATTAAATGTATGGTCCCAACTGAAGTGACTTATGTGTGGTTGACTGTACAGTGCAATGCTGGTGCTGATGAGCTGCCAACTTGCGTTTGTTTCATAAGAACATAAGAATTTGCTGGCAAAAAAAGACCACAGTCCATTCAGTTTGCCTTCGACCATTCTGGCAGTCGCTAGCACATGTCGTGTCCTAAACTATAGACCGTATCTCAAGAGATTATTTCTGAACAGAAATCTATCTAATTTGTTCTTGAAAGAATCCACGCTTTCTGCTTCCATCATCTCCCTTGGGAGCTTGTTCTATAAGTTTGTTACTCGCTCACTGAAATAGTGTTTCTGCTGATTTGTTTGGAATTTATCTGCCGGGGGGATGGGGGAGGTGACTGTAGGTCGAAGAGGAAGATATTCAGGTGTGATCTGAAGATGGGGAAGCAAGGGACAAGGTGGAGGGATACAGGAAGAGTGTTTCGGGGCACAAGTACAAGATAAAACAGCTTATCATGGTCTACATTATCTTGTCTCGTCTTGAGTTGGCAAAGTACATACACAACCTTGACTGGTAACGATTTCCGGTTCCTGGGCTCTTCCTGGGTCTTATGAACGGTGTGTGTGTGTATGTGTGTGGTTCACCCACCCTCGGCATCTAAAAGTGGAATTTGGCAATGAAGGCTGGGCCTTTGAATATTTGAACAAAATAAGAGTCTGCGATGCTGAATAACCTTTGTTTCTAGAGGCACGCATTTCTAATTTGAATTAAATTCTGCATGACAGCGGAGAATAATCAGCGACCTTTTGAAGTCGACAGTTTTTGATCTGTGGAATTAGTGTTGTATCTCATTTAATCTGGAGTAACTCCTTCACCGGAATTTCATTTCAATCCTCTTTTTTTTCCTCCTCATTCTCCTCCTTCTTGTTCTCCTCCTCCTCCCCCTTTTTCTGCTTCCCTCCATTCTTTTCCTCCTCATTGGAGGTCTGAGTATATTGGTTAGACCACTTGCTTCACAAGCAACAGGATCCGGGTTCAATTCCTGGGCGGGACGAAATCGTAGGCAAGCTTTCTTATTCAAGAGGCCTCTGTTTACCTAACAGTAAGTGGGAAGCAGGTTGGTAGTCAATTGGCTGTTTGATTTCTAGAGGTAATAATCCCTGCAAAAATAAATAAATAATTTTATCTCTCAATCCACGGCTGTTTGTGGGACACTGCTGTGCGTAATTGGCTGCTGCGTTTCTCCCACAAAATATATAGTCAATTCACTTTACAGTATATTTTGTGAAGCGTATTGAGACATCTCATCGAAACGAGGCAGGCAATTGCACACAGCAACGTCACATAAACAGTCGTGGATTGAGTGACCACAACTCTTGGAGGGAAATCAATCCGCCAATCAACTAACAACCAGGTTCCTGTTTACTGCTAGGTAAATAGAGGCGTGTGGAGTAAGGAAACTTGCCTAAGGTTTCGCCCTACTCGGGAATCGAACCCAGGTCCTCTCGCTTGCCAGGCGAGCATGCTAAATCACGACACTACAGGACTCTAAATGTGCTGGTAATGGCCACATTCTTCTGAAAAGTTCTGAGTGCCATCAACTGAGTATTCTGCTTAGTGGGGACAGTTTTGGAGACTCTGAGCTCAATCAGAGGCCACTGGCTGAACTCTTATCTGAGTTGTAAGGAATCTCCTGTGAATAAGACCAGAGAGGCTGCGTTCCATACTCGCAAGTGGCAACCGAGGCCAGCAGATTCCATCACTCCCGTAAATCTGCCTTATGTATTGTATTGTCTGTTGCTGTAATCTCTTGTACCTCATGTAACACATGTGTCCCTCTTCTCTCCTTCGCTATTCATTCTAAAAGGAGCATCGGCTGCTGGTCACAGTGAGTAGCACTTCATACAGTTGCATTCTGTAACTGCAGATGTTTAGTAAGGCTATTAAGTTCCTTTCAAGCAAAGCGTTGTATTGCCTTAAACGTTACCAGAACTATCAGTTGTACAGGAACTGTTCATTTCACTGATTAATTGCTGTAACAGTACTTTCATGAGAATAAGGTATGGGAGCAGTCCAGAGAAAAGTAGGAATTCTGCTAGCTTCTCTGCGGTGAGAGGAGAGGAGGGAAATGAAGGAATCTGTAACAACATTGAAAGAAAATTGTTGAAAGCTCTTGAACGGTTTATCAACCACAGGGGAGTGAAACTGGCATAGATTTGCACCTGGTATATTTGTAATATATTAACTGTGAAGTCCTGTAGTATAGTGGTTAGCACACTCACCTCGCAAACGAAAGGACCCGGGTTTGATTCCCTGACAGGGCAAAACCTTAGGCAAGTTTCTTTACTCCACCTAGCAGTTTTACCTAGCAATAAGTTGGAACCTGGTTGTTAGTCGATTGGCGGATCGCTTTCTGGGGATAATAATCCCTCCCCCCCAAAATTGGTCAATCACTCCACAACTGTTTGTGGGACACTGCTGTGTGCAATTGGGTGCTGCATTTCGCTCATAAAGTATTCAATCAATCCACTTTACAAATACACAGTCACTATACTCTCAAGCACATCTGCAGTAAAACTGGCTTTGAGACGCCTTGTCGATGTGATAAGACGCTTTATCAAATGCAAGGATTATTATATTTCCTGCCATCATACTGAATCTGCCACCTTTTGGCCCAGTCGGGCAAAAATCCTTCTGAATCTGGCTGGCATTGCTCATTGTCCCTTCTTGCTATAACCAGCAGGCTTTGCTCATACTGCCTGATGACCACACGTTTCAAGACTCCCCAGATTTGAATCACTGCCGGACGGACGCCTCTTTGGTGAAGTGCTTTGTAAATGAGCCTAGGTCTGAATATTTTTTACCTTAGATTTGCTATTTTAAGGAATCATTTAATCCATGGTGCATTATTTGAGTGTCCTGGCCTAAACACTAGTAAAATGAACTGCTTTTTGAAGGGGAACAAATTGTGTGGGCAAAGTGGCATTCTTGGTGAACACATCTCAGCGTTCTGCCTTGGCTCTTAAATCATGTTTCATATTTAATTGCTCAATAGGATTCCTTAGCTGAGCCCTATAAATATCTGTTATACGCATGGCTTCAGCTAGTATGGACTGTTTCCAGTGTAATCACGCTACAGAACGAGGATTGGTTAGCCATTACCTCAGTTTGGGATCAGGTAGTTCTTACCCTCAACCTTCGAGAGTAGCAAGTCTATGCTTGCCCATTTGTGAAAGAATGAGAGACTTGGGCTCTGTTCCTTAGAGCTGAGTAGGTTAAGGGATGATCTGATTGAGATTTTAAAACAATGACAGGATTGATAAAATAAATAATAATTTGGTCACTCAATCCAGGGCTGTTTGTGGGACACTGCTGTGCACAATTGGCTGCCGCGTTTCACCCACAAAATACACAGTCAATTCACTTTACTGTATATTTTGTGAAGTGCGTTAAGGCACCTGAATAACATGATAAGGCGCTATATCAAATGTAAGGATTATTATTGTTCTAAGGGATGAATGACTCTTCACCTCTGGTAGAGGGATCCAAAACAAGGGATTTTTTTTGTAAATTAGAGTTAGCATAGAAGTGAAATAGGAAAATATCTCTTGAAACGACCGATTGTGAGAATGTGGTACCCCAGAAGGCTGTGGGGCTAAAATCAATTGTGATATATACTTGGGCATTTAGGGGATTAAAGGTTCCTTGACTGTCCAACTTTTTGGGACATCCTCGCGACATGAAAGGGGCTATACAAATGTATATACAAATATAATTTGGTATTGGTGCATGAGGAAGAGGTGGGGAAAGGACTTAAAATTTCTGCCATGATTCGATAAAATGGCAGAACAACCTTAACAAGTTTAATGGCCCCCTCCTCTGGCTATGATCTTAAAGTGTCGAACAACAACTTATTTATTTATCACCCTTCACACAGGGTAGCGTCTTGGAGCAAGAAAGACCGGATCTGCCTTTAGACAATGAGTTCCAGTTGTGATACTGATTCCCCAGAATGGCAGCTGAGCCCTCCACCCCTCTTCTCCCCACATTGAGACTTTATCTCACAATCACAACGCTTCTGTGTAGTTCTGGACTGGGATGGGCGCTGCATTAGTGGAGGTGCCATCCTTCAGATGAGACGTTTACCCAAGGTCTAATCTGCTTGTCCTCAGATGGATGTTGCGGTTTCCTGGCACTATTATATGACAGCTATCACATTCTCTGATCTTGCTGAAAATCTTGTTGTGGCGTCTACGTTCGATCAGCAATTATGAAGATTTAAGCATCCCAACACACGCTGGAGTCCTATAAGCAGTGGTTAGAGCACTCGCCTCACAAGTGAGAGGACCTGGGTTTGATTCCCTAGCAGGGTGAAACCTTAGGCAAGTTTCCTTACTCCACACGCCTCTGTTTAGCAGTAAGTAGGAACCCGGTTATTAGTCGATTGGTGAATCCTTTTCCGGGGGTAATAATTCCTTCAAAGAAAAGTAATAATGATAATAAATTGGTCACTCAATCCACGACTGTTTTGACACTACTGTGTGCAATTGGCTGCCGTGAAAGTTAAGGTTAGGGTTAATTTAGGCTAATTTGCCCAGAAAATATAGAGTCAGTTTGCTTTACAGTATATTCTGTAAAGCGCTTCGAGACACCTTGGAGATGTCAAATGCAAGGATTATGTTTATTATATTTAATAAATTTTTATTATATTTATTATGATATATTATTAATAGTAAATGCAAGGATTATTACATTCTCCACCTGCCGCTATTGCTGTTTTGTGCCCGGTATTTTACGGCTGAAATTGTGGAAAATGTGAGCAGTCTCATCTAGAATGCTGCACAGATCCTGCCAATGCTCTGTCATGAATCACCCGTTACTCTTGGATCACACAGATCATGGCCACCTCCCAAGGAGGAGAATGGAGAGCCCGCGGATTATCCAATAGCCCAGAGGCACACAGCTTTTGATCAGCTTCCAGTTGGGACACAACCATTTGCACATTTTGCGAGATTTCCCTTTCACTGTAGGCAATAACTAAACTCTTTCCATTATGGGATTTGAATGTCTATTCATAAAATATTGAACACCCACCACATCCTCTTGACCTAGAGCAATGGTCGATGAAACATTTTTTCATGAAAGATCTCTCTGTTGGTTATAATTATCCTTACATTTGATAATAATCCTTGAATTTGATATGAGCCTTATCATTGTCTCTGAGATGTCTCAAAGTGCTTCGCATACACTGTAAAGTGGATTAATTATATATTTTGTGGGCGAAACACGGGAACCAATTGTGCGCAACAGTGCCCCACAAACAGTCCTGGATTGAGTGACCAAATTATTATTTTTTTAAAACTTTTTTTTAAAGGATATTTACGCCCGGAAAAGCGATCCATCGATCGACTAACAACTGGGTTCCCACTTACTGCTAGGTAAACAGGTGTGTGGAGTAAAGAAACTTGCCTAAGGTTTTGCCCTGCCTGAGAATAAAACCCAGGTCCTGTCCCTTGCGAGGCAAGTGCGCTAACCAGTACACTACAGGTTCCAGCTGCAGCATCACTTAGTTATATAAGGAATGTTTGCACGAGAGCTGAGCTGCGAAGGTTGAGCGTTGGCCTGATAGAGGACTTCAAAATTGTGAAAGGTGAAAGATCTTCAAGATACATAAACGTCCCAATGCGCATCCTGCACTTGCCGCTCCTGCTGTTAGGGTGAAATAGGTTATTTCCACTGCTTGGCAAGTCCATTAGGAGACACACATTTAAGATGTTGTAGCTCAAGATACCCTGTTCTGAAGATGCCTGCTGTACATAGACACTTCCAGGCCTTCTCATCCTCCTCTGAACCTTCGCAGCTCAGCTGTAGTGAAACAATCTTTATATAACTAAGCAGTTGGAGAGCCACCAGCTGTAGTTGGGAGTATGTTGTCCCAACATCTACTTTACCTTCTGAGATGCGATGGTTTGCATTGGAGTGTCACCTTAAACACCACTTTGACGGCCAACAAAACTTTAAAAAAACGATAATTTGGTCATTCAATCCATGACTGTTTGTGGTACGCCGCTGTGCGTAATTGGCTATCGCGTTTTGCCCACAAAATCAATCAATCAATCCACTTTACAGTATTTACAGGGTAGTGCTCTGAGATGCTACTCTGCGTTGAGGGCGCTATATAAGAGCAAGTTGTTGTATTTTCACCCACAAAACACGTAGTCATTATTTTACAGTAAATCCTGTGAAGCGCTTTGAGATATCTTGACGACGTGATAAGGCCCTATACCAAATGCAAGGATTATTATTATCATTATTACAAATGTTTCTTGATTGAACATTTCTTGATTCATGGCAAAAATCTATGCTATCTTGTTATTTCTGTAATTATTTTATTGGTCAACCAGAATGGGTGGCCAATATATATATATATACATTTGGTATAACGCCTTCAAAAATATATGTAATATATACTGTCTATCTCCCTTTTATACTCCCCACTTCTTTCCGCGATCACTGCCTTCTGGGGTAATTCTTGGGCAAGTTTCTTTACTCCACAATTGTGAATTATTATCTTCTGATCTCACTTCGAAGAATTTAGCTGTAATTTGAAGACTAGGTCCCCTTGTTTTACCAGTGGGAAGAGACACTATTTGTGGAGTCCTGTAGCTTAGTGATCAGTGAGCTCGCCTCACAAGCAAGAGGACCCGGTTTCGATTTCAGGCAGGGCAAAATCTTGGGCATAAGAACCTAAGAAATGCTAGACGAAAGAAGACCAAGGTCCATCTAGTTTGCCTTCCACCTTGCTGGTGGTGGCATGCACATATGTTACAAACCACCTGTGTACTATATCCCGTAATGTTATTTCCTACAAGAAAACTATCTAATCTG